ACAAGTATCTGTATTTTGCTGTTAAGGTTTTTGCATATTTTGAATAAACAATGGCCTGTTTGGGTTACAGCACAACATTAACTAAAAATGAAATAAAAACCTTTTTTTCTGTCCCACAGATTTGATGAGATTTTTTAACATGGTCCTTTTACTGGTTGAGTTTGACACCCCGCCTTAGACTCTACAGACCTGTCGGCAGGTCCAGACTCCCATAAATACATGCACATCAGTTTTTTTTTAAAGTTATAGAATGATTCATATAGTTTATTTGATAATAAAAAAATTACAAAATCATGCTTTCTCTCTCTCTCTCTCTCTCTCTCTCCTCCACCATTCGTTCACTTCATAGTGTGTGGTCTGGATTCCAGTCAGGGCTATAAGAGGGGAGAGGGTAGTGGGGGTGGGGGCACGTTAAGCTTCCTAGCACCATCAGCAGCAGAAACAACACATACCCAACCAGTGAGATCATCACCCACTCCATCTCTCACGGCAATGGCTGTGAAACGCGGGGGGCTCGTCAAGCCTCCGAATGACCAGAGCCTTTCAGACTGGACAGAACATAGAATACAAACAAAGGCTTTCATTCATAAAAAAATAAACAGCCTCAAAGAAAACATTTCACATGTTTAACACAAGTGTTTTTATCACATCTCTGTTTTTGTTGCCTTCATCATTTTCAGTGTATTCTTTAGTGGGAGGGGGGATCTTGTTTCTGTGCCTCTAGCAGATGTTTTGCAGTGAGAGAGGAAGGAATGTGAGACTTCAAAGTGATAAGAAACCAAATACGTCTTTGGGGACAGGGCATTCTTTTTTGAGGGAAACCTGCTTAGAGTTTCTGCCAGGAGAATGGAGCTGTTTCTTCACCAGAACATGCAGAGTTTTGTTCTACAATTTGGTTTTAGAATTTCTAGTTCTAGAATTTTCTGTGTGCCTTATTACAAACCAGCAGAATGTAGAGCTGGGGCTGGATTCACGAAAGCCTTCTTAAGAAAAAACTTGCGAAGGACAAACATTAAGAAGTTCATAAGAATGGGCCTCATTCATCAATATCTTCCTAAGCTCCTAAATTTGTTCTTGAGGAAGGTCCTAAGAAAATGTCTAGGTCAGATTCATGACGCGTTCCTAAACCACAGAATTGTTCACATGTTTGTGCTCTTGAGTGTGTGTAGATTCTGTTCTTAAATTCTCTTAAGATAATCTTAATTATTTTCTCACATTTTTTAAAGAAAATCTTTATTGTTTTCTTATGTATGCTCTGTTGCATTTTGCCGTGGACCATAAACAATGTGAGATACATTTTGTATTTGTATTAACTGTTTTGTCCGTTATTTAGTTTAATCCATTTAAAGGACAGCAAATTATGGAAAAACATCAAACCCAGTGTATGATAATTGTGGGGTGATGGAAGAGGACGGGCAGTAGTAGCAGAGGCTGTGTGCATTTTAAATTTAGACGCTTACCATGTTAACCCTTACAGCCTAAGACAAGTATGAGGCTATCGTGAGGTTAAGTAAACATTTAAGAACGTAATATTTTCAAGAATACCACTTGTTCTTAGAACGATTCTTGAGAAAATAGTTAAGAAAAGAAAACACAACATTCTATGCTATAAAACAAAGGTGCCAGAAATGGTTCATTGTGTGATGCCATAGAATTCATTTTGGTTCCCTAAAGAACCATTTTTGTAAGACAGATGTGTGATCATGAGGAACCTTTTCAAAGTTTAAAGACCCTCCACATAATGTAAGATTACAGAAGGATCCCTTAAATTGGCAAAGTGAGTGTGAAAATTTTTTTTTTTCACACTCACACATCTCATTTACAGACATTATCCTTTAAAGAACTAAACTGGTTATTCTATGGCTTTGCCCCACCCATCAAAGATCGCTTTGGTAGTACTATATAGAACCCATGTTGCTAAGAGTGTACCAGTCTAATTGGAGACACTTGTTGGTTGGTACATTACTACAATTACTTAGTATTTCTCATATATCTATCTCTGCAAAAAATAAACTTTAAAAAATAAAAAATAAAAGGATCATAAAAGGAAGCATGAGTTCGGGTTACTTCTTCATTCTTCTATTTATGACACTGATACACTTTCCACGAGTTGCTGCGTGGGAAGAAAGATCAAATTCCTTCTGATGCAGTGTAATGTTTAACTAGCTTTATTCATTCACAATCGTTTCTGATGAACCGCCTCAAGGCAGTGTATAGTTAATGTCTAGCTGCTGTTGAAACAAAATCTCATTTCTCCAATTTTTTTTTATTGTTTTACTTAATTTAAAACTCCAGCTACCGTTTACACTGTGTCAAAATTTAATGACAAATGGACCAAAGGAAACAGTCCAGATTGACTTTGAATGAAATCTTGTTACATTGACTTACATTTAAATTTAATGCATTTTATCTTCCTCTGTTAAGATACCTTTTTAGAGATAAGAGGTTTTGTTTTGTTAAATTCTTAAGCAGTGAAGCACTGTCTAGCCATGATATCAGCCAGTGAATCTTTGTCTCAGATGTAGGCCTATGGTTTCTTGGCACATGCACGTGTAGCTCAGAATATGTATGGTATAGAGTGAAGTTAGGAAGCAGTGTGCTGTTAAAACCACCTATAAATGAAACACAATTCTTCTGAATTAAACAAGCTGATCTTGAGTGTCGTGCAATGTGTGTAAACTACAGTATGTGTTGTTTACTTTCAGTTTTCAAATGATTGTGAGTGTGTAAATGATAATAGAAAAAAAAGTTTATCCAGCCACACACTGCAGCCTTGTTTTAGACAAGGCCTCTCTGTCAGCAGAGCACATTCTTTAAAACAAAGGCTGGAATTATACTTAATGCATTACTACAGCTGAGGCAAAACTGTCCCTTTATTTCATGGGGAATTCTGATGGTAAAACAGAGCATACACACCAATTTTTATTGACATGTTCCCAGTTCTTTTGGGTTTGAAGAATCATTTTATAACACACATATCATCTTCGCGACTGAAACACCTCATTCCACTTTGGATTCCTCAACTCTGAGTAGACATTTTGTTCTGGGAGGGGCTTATTGTTGGAACCTTTAATGTTACATGGGTGTATTTAAAGGCTTTATCTAAATCATCATTGAATTTCTTCTTTTCACTTTACCCGAGTTCCCCTTGAATTTCTCTAACAGTTTAGGACCTGTAATTCTTCATCAGTTTCCTAATAGGTGGGGGAGTCCCTGCCTTATGCGACCAGTAGCTGATTTTGGTGTTTTCGTTTTCGTTTCTGAAGAGGAATACATAAAAAACAATGATAGGCTGAATTTTTTTTGAGGAATATAGTTCACTTCAGTGATTGACAAGCTAAATGTTGTTGAATCCTGGCAACGTCTCTTCTCATTTTCTTTTACTGCTCTTTTAAGTATGCTACCACACTGCCATTGACCAAGAAGTCCTGCTTAGTAGCATTCTTCAAAATTTTTTCAAACATCCAAAGCATTATATGCATTTGCTGGTGGCACGGTATTTACAGCATGTAGACATTCCTGAGGAAACATGTGAGTTTGTGGATGGTGATGCAGATATATAATCATAAGTTAACTGAAGTCCAGTACACAGTATAGAAAACATACTTATTGCAATCATCAGACCTATTTTTGCAAAACTATTTAGGCATAATTTTCTGCAAAACTCTGGAAGCTTCCAGAAGAAGGACCTAACACTAAAAGGGACAGCATAGGGTTACTCAAAAGGCCCATATCATGGAAAGCCAAATTTTCATGTTTTGAAATAAAAGGTGCAAAAAAATATTGTTCATGTTTCAGAACATTCACTGCCCAGACCATACAGTCCATATATGGGAACAAGCTGCAAAAACAGCCTGTTTTGAGTCAAACCACTGCCACTCAAACCATGAGTGGAGATATAAATACATTTTCACTCAAACCAAAAGTGAAAATATAAATGCATTGTGACTAAAGCTAATGCATTTGCACTGCTGGGTTCAGTCCACCGCAGTTTTGCTCTGCCTTTTCACATTGAAGTGTTTCAGCCCAGACTGCTTTTTGAATAAGGCAAAATACAGAGTAGCCAATCAAAACACAGATCATTTACATATACCAGTCCCAGAGACACAGTACCAAATTCTATTCACAGTACCAAATTCTATTCATTCTAAAGGATAAATAGAGACTGGAAAATGATCATGTAAATCGGTTAAATTAATTAAATCAAAGGGGAATTCCACCTCTTTTTTCAAAATTTTTGCAAAATAAAATGATTTTGCCTTATAAACAAAGTCATTCAGAGTGGTTTGATGTGTGCTGTTCTAGAGAAACTTACAGAATCAGAATTGTTCACAGTGTTGGTGATAGGAACCAGACATCTGAAGCATTCAAATACCTAAAAACTCTCATAGACAGTGTATAAATACATTGCCTAATGTCTGAGACTTTTTTTTTTTTTTTGCATCTGCATGCAGGGTGTTGTAAGCCAAATTAGTACCCAAAGAAAACTTTTTTATCATTACTTCACGATTATCAACATTATAAAAAAGCTCAGAGGACGTGTAGGTTCATTGGTCATTTTGAGTAGTAAATAAAATGGCTATATTTGCATCGTAAACATTGTGACCCCTGGTTCCTATCACCACCACTGTCAAGGAAATCTGTCAGTACCAGTAATTTCACACCATATCAAACCTGTCTGTATGACTTTGTTTACATCTCAAAGATTGCACTGTGCAAAGATTTCGATTCCTTTTTCATACAGTAACTGAAAGTCAATAAACTATAAACAAATCAGATATTTAATACAGCTAGTTTTGATACATAAACACTCACAAATAAAGCGACGTGGAGCCCAGTTGTGACACGTAACACAAGACGCAATGTAGGGTATGGCTCCTCTAAGTTTACTTTCGCTTAGAGCTCTGTCTCCCCCTGGTGGCCGAGAAGCGAAATTACTCACGGCTCCATTAGTTGGGTCTGAACAAGACCATACCCATCGATTGTGCTTTTTTATGCGTATTAGTGAGTCATTTCGTTGTCATTTACGGAATAGTGTTACATGTAGTTCAGTTTTCTTTCACCCAACACATGTATTATTGTCTGTGATTCTCTCTCCTCAGAGTGGGCTGTGTACGCGCCAGAAACAGATAATCCATTAACCTGCTAAACAATTTGCTCTTCAGTCGTGCACATCAGACTCGAGGTTTCAGTTCATGTAACCTCGAAACGGACCGTTCTGCCGGTTTGGTCTAATTCCGTGTCTTCCGAGGAAGGAAAAAAATGAGCCTGGCTTTCTGTCGCGCTCCCCGGAAAAACGCGGGGAGCCGCATGTCCAAACTGCTGGATGCAGAAGAAGAGGACGAGTTCTACAAGACCACCTATGGAGGCTTCAATGACGTGAGGGGCCTCGTTTTCAGGCTAGCACATAATTGTTAGGTGTCCTGCTGTCAACTGGAAATAGTGAATCTGTGCAAAGTGTGTTCAGTACAGTAGCCTGCAGCACATTAAACCTGTAGTCTCAGAGCTAAAGACACACTGCAGGTGTAGAACTTGTAGAAGTACTGATAGAACTGGCCTGGCTGCTGTCCGTTCAGTACAACGAACGTCTGAAAAAATCAATTCGTAATAGGTTATTGCATTTATGTTTTGGGAATCATGTCTATGGATACATTATATGTCCAAAAGTTTGTAGACAGCTGTTCTTCTTCTGAAATCAGGGATGTTGACAATGAGTTTGTCCCTTTCTGCTGCGGGAACAGCGTGCACTCCCCTGGGAAGACTTGTTGGGACATTAATGTGAGGATTTGATTGCTTTTAGCATCAAGAGTGAGGTCAGATGTGGATGTTAGTTGGTTAGTTTTGCATCACAAACAGCACTCTTAACTTATCCCAAATACATTGGATGGTGATCCATCAGAGAACAGAGTTCCAATGCTCCACAGTCCGGTCCCAGGGGAATTTATACCCCTCTAGCTGATGCTTGGGATTGGACATTGTGACCTTAGGTCCATGAGTGGCTGCTCCAGAGCGTCCTGTTCTATTAGCAGTGCTTTTCTATAAAGATCATACAAGCTGTGTGTGCACAGTTGAACACCTGTGTCAGCAGTGAGTGCACTTTAAAGTAGCTAAATTCACCTGTTAGAATTGGTGTCTGGATACTTTTGGACATACACTGTATTGCCAAAAGTATTCACTCACCCATCCAAATCATTGAATTCACGTGTTCCAATCACTTCAATGGCCACAGGTGTATAAAACCAAGCACCTAGGCATGCAGACTGCTTCTACAAACATTTGTGAAAGAATGGGTCGCTCTCAGGAGTGAGAGCGTGGTACCGTGATAGGATGCCACCTGTGCAACAAGTCCAGTCGTGAAATTTCTTCGCTACTAAATATTCCACAGTCAGTGGTATTATAACAAAGTGGAAGTGATTGGGAATGACAGCAACTCAGCCATGAAGTGGTAGGCCACGTAAAATGACAGAGCGGAGTCAGCGGATGCTGAGGCGCATAGTGCGCAGTGGTCGCCAACTTTCTGCAGAGTCAATCGCTACAGACCTCCAAACTTCATGTGGTCTTCAGATTAGCTCAAGAACAGTGCACAGAGAGCTTCATGGAATGGGCTTCCATGGCCGAGCAGCTGCATCCAAGCCTTACATCACCAGGTGCAATGCAAAGCGTCAAATGCAGTGGTGTAAAGCGCCGCCACTGGACTCTAGAGCAGTGGAGACGTGTTATCCAGAGTGATGAATCACGCTTCTCTGTCTGGCAATCCGATGGACGAGTCTAGGTTTGGTGGTTACCAGGAGAACGGTACTTGTCTGACTGCATTGTGCCTGTTGTAAAGTTTGCTGGAGGGGGCATTATGGTGTGGGGGTTGTTTTTCAATTTCATGCTCCCAACGTTGTGGGAACAGTTTGTGGATGACCCCTTCCTTTTCCAACATGACTGTGCACCAGTGCACAAAGCAAGGTCCATAAAGACATGGATGAGCGAGTCTGGTGTGGAAGAACTTGACTGGCCTGCACAGAGTCTTGACCTCAACCCGATAGAACACCTTTGGGATGAATTAGAGCAGAGACTGCGAGCCAGGCCTTCTCATCCAACTTCAGTGTCTGACCTCACAAATGCGCTTCTGGAAGAATGGTCATAAATTTCCATAAACACACTCCTAAACCTTGTGGACAGCCTTCCCAGAGGAGTTGAAGCTGTTATAGCTGCAGAGGGTGGGCCAACATCATATTAAACCCTATGGATTAAGAATTGGATGTCACTCAAGTTCATATGCGTGTGAAGGCAGACGGGCGAGAACTTTTGGCAATATAGTGTATATAGAATAAGAGCAATACATTTCATATAAAGTTTGTCATATGTGATTGCTGTAGGAGTCTGGAGATGATGAGTACAAAGGAGACCTTTCAGACACAGAGGATGAGGTGGACAGTGACTTTGATATCGATGAGGGAGAAGAACCTGACAGCGAGCAGGAGGAAGATGGACCTCGAAGGAAGAGCAGAGTTGTTACCAAGGCCTACAAGGTGTTGTGTACTTAACACATTGATTCAATCTTCTCTGAGCTCTAGTTTGCTGTGTAAATTCTGGTGTAAATTATATATATGATACAGTGCGTAAGTACAGGTTATTAGTTCAGTTTATTTCCTGTTCTCTCCACCTAATTGCTTATGTTTGGTCAGGAGCCCATTAAAGCTGTGAAACCTAAGCCTAAGCCAAAGAAGCTGAGTGAGCTGCCCAGGAGAGCAGACAAGATCAAGACTGAGAAGCACAAAACTCTCGAGCTCCAGGAAGACATCAGTAAGAGTGAGACTCCGTCTGCTTTTTTACCACAGAATACTTCATATGAATACTTCATACTTCATAAGATCATTTCAGAAGCCAAGTGCTAGGAAAGCTGGGTAAAACTTTACTTGAACACTGCTGAACAATGTTGAGATAATTGTGCCATAAACACGTCATGGCAAATGTCATGTGCTGTTATTAGTCATCATGACAGATCATGTCCAGTAATATAATGGTACAGTAATGTATGTTTCCATTACCATTAACTGCCATTACAGATGTCAAAATGTTTGATGTCACAACATCTAACTAGATTACACAACTTATGACAGCATATGACATCTGACATGACATGTTTATGTCATGGTCATGTCAGTGTTATGTAGCAGTGCTTAAGTAAAGTGTTACCACAAGTTGTATGAACATTACAAAGGAAAAAAGTGTTCTTCAAGGAGTCATTAGTTATATCTAGAAGATCACATTACCTATTATTGTTGAAGGCATACACATCACGTTTGACTAGATGAAAGCTTGTTGATGAGGGTGGGTTTTTCATGTGGGTCAAGGAAAGTTTAAGAAGAAAAGAGGAACAGGTCAAGGTTAGATGTAATGTCACGCTTTCAAGCAGCAGTCTGTCTACAGACCAAAAACAACTGTGATGGCAAAAGTAAGTCAGATATGTGACATGGTGCAGTGTTTCTATCTCAGACAGGAAGTCTGTGCGGCAATCCACTACCGAGCACACACGGCTAACCTACCTGCGACTACAGGAGAGGCAGGTGGCTCCTCGTCGCAGGAAGGGCACTCGCCATGAGCGTCCTCTGACTCAGGCAGAACTTCTAGCCGAGGCCAAGGTCACAGCAGAGATTAACTTGCGCTCACTGGGTGAGAAGGACACACACATCAGTAATTTACGGAGCGGTTTATTGTAGTGTTACACTAGAAGTGAGACTGTATGATCATTTTAATGTAATGTTCATTTCTAATGCAATGCTGCGATTCTCTGAGTTGTCTTTGTGTTACTTAGAAGTCTAAAGCATGGCTATTCAACTCCCATCCTAGAGGGCTGGTGCCCAGCAGACTTTGGTGATTTTTCTGCTCAAACACACCTCCCAACGCCTCTCTTAATTGCCAGCTTTGTGTTTGAGTAAGGGAGTTACCAAACTCTGCTAGACACAGGCCTTCCAGGCCTGGTCTTATACCTCTAATCCACAATTATTATTGTTGTTGTGCAGTATATTTGATTTACATTACATAATCGTACATATACAAACTTTTTTTTCAGAATCAGAATCTTTATTCACCAAGTACCAGATGTACAAGAATTTCTCTTGTTGCAGGTGTCAATGTAAAATTAAGTCCAATGAAATAAATATAGAATAAGATATAAAATAGACAGTGCACAAACAGCCTGCAAGTTTTTGTTTGTTTTCGCATTATTTCTAGTAATGTAATCATTCACAGTGTAGCATGCTTTTCCTTGTCACTCAGTAGCATCTCCAGTCTGGCAAAATTAAGGCTTCACTTCTCTGATGAGTGTGAAATGTGCATCTTTTCAAACTTTTGACTGTGGAGCATTGACACCTGGAAACACTCCAGTTTATCTTCTAAGTATGCTGCCACAGAGTCATGTATATGTCTGAGAGGCATGTATGCCAAATGGGGAGAAAGGAACATTCTCTCTTTTTAAACCTATTTTTGAAGTCATTTACAAACTGATTTGTCTGATGAAGACATATTGAACTCCTCTTGTTTCTTGTTACTTGTTAAATGTAGAAAACTATGAGCGTCTGGAGGCAGATAAAAAGAAGCAAGTCCACAAAAAGCGCCAGTGTGTGGGCCCAGTCATCCGCTACCACTCTGTACTGATGCCTCTGGTGTCTGACCCCTCTTTCAAAGAAGAGAATGTGGATGTGGAGGGGTACGATTTTCTCTCAGCTTGTCTAATTACTGCTTTACTACTGGAATCTTTAATGTCTTTTGCAAATAAGTGATCCTGTTTAATCCTGACCATTTTATGCATCCTGGTCGTTTTATTCATTACGCAGATGTTATAAAACTGCAGATACATCCGTCTCTACACATTTGACAAACAAATCCCCTTTCAATGCACTATGTCATAGTACACATGTTCCATGACCACAGTGAGTAAACATCGACTGCCAAACTTTGCGTCTTCCTCTAAGTTCAACAGTCAACAACACTGCAAAATATTTGAGGGGGCAACTGTCTTTTGCATAAACAGGAAAAACCAGACAGAACTGCCAAGAGTAAAGGCACATGTTTGAAATCTTATCAGGATGCAGTCTAGGTATGAGTTTCATGTAGTGTACATGGAGTCTGTTATGTTAAAAGACACAGTTATTAACTTGCCACTCTAACCTTTTATAGGTTGGACCAGGACCCCCAGCAGTCTCATCCTGGCTCTGGAGCTGGAGCTGCAGTGTTGTCCCAGTCCGAGGCAACCCTCTCTGGCCAACCAGTGTCCATCTCTGCTCCCCCACCACCAGGAGGTGGCAGGTGCTCTCGCACCTACATCACCTTCAGTGATGAGGACACCTTCCAGTCCTTCTTTCCTAAGGCCTCCGCCCCACGCGTCCCTGTCAAAGAAGTGTGCCCAGTCACTCACAAACCAGCCCTGTACCGCGACCCTATCACAGACATTCCATATGCCAACCTGAGAGCCTTCAAGATTATCCGTGAAGCCTATAAGAAGTATGTGGCAGCGCATGGCCTGCCATGCCCCGGCACTACTCTTCCAGCAGAGCCCACTGCCAAGAGCCTGCGGCAGAAGATTGTTATCAAACAAGGCATATGAGGATACATGTATGGAGAGAGAGGTATCAGAAAAAAACAAGGAAAAGCTGAATTTTTCTGAGACTTAATATACTTGCCCTATTTTTCCTGCAGCCACAAACTAATCATTAGTTAAGAAAGTACATTTCATGTTTACAAACATCATTTTAAGTATAATTTGAACTGCAGTGAACCCATGAAAGGTTGGACGGGAGGGAATAGATTTTTTTAACCTGTCATTCAGGTAAGTCCACAATGAGCTGCAGGCTGTCACTTCAGTCTCTGTCACATATTTCAAAATCACAGACTTTTTAGCTGCCTGGGAACCATGCACTAATGCACCACTACTTGTTGAATGTTTCTTTGCAGATGCTGATTGTACCAATTCTGTCATAAAACTGTTAATAGTGTAGAATAGTACATGATTACAGTAAATACTGTGCATTATTCAGTGTTGTGTTGATGATTGTGAAATACTGTGCTGCACTTTAATGACATTAGTATGTTTTATGCTACTTATGTACAAAAGCTTAAATCATATTTCACAGTGCTCATTACTGCTGATAAAAACTTGAATGTGTTAAACAAAACTGATGATGTATTGCAATATTCATCAAATATCCCAGTGCTCTGCTGTTTTGCTTTAGTTTCTTATACTTGTGTTTTGTTTCTTTTTTTATTGTGTAATAAGATTTCCAAACCCAATTGAAGAACCCAACCTGAACATTCTGCCACTTTCAGCTTGCCCTTATACCCCCACTCATGCTGTATCCAAGGCCTCAGTGTAAGTATTTATGTCAGAATGTCAGATGGGTTAGTTTATTACATGTCTCCTACTTCAGATATCTTAAGCACACTCGTAAAATTCAAATTTCATTTGCCATATGTGACATATTTCTATATGAGTGAGCTAAAGTACCTAAAGTGTTAATGGTAACACTTTATTTTACAGTTTATACTGCATAAGGACATTTTATCTTACATAAGGACTTCTTAACACATACAAAAGCCCAGACGTATTTTTCAGTAGCAATACTTTGGATTTAGGACAAGCTTATGCCAGTATTCGCAAAAGGACGTAATATGTTTTATTATGTAAATGACATTGTGTTGAATGAGGGCCCTTAAACTACAGTGACTGACATTTGTTCCATTTATAACACCGGTCTGAAGCATCAGTTTACAGCAGTTCTTATCCAGGCCTCTGCCTTATAAGTTCCTCATAACAGTCTTATAAAAGAAATAAATGATAATCATCACTTTAGTTTAAATGCCCTTATGCCAGTATGATGTTATTTACTTTGTAAAATGTTTTGGGTCATCTAAAGCCATAAAAACTTAAGTCTTTTTTTAAAAAAAAATAAGTTATTTGTGTTATGAAGTCCTTGTGTAGGTAACCTTTAGATAAAGTTTCACAACATTGACTCCCTTTTGCAATGCAAAGTGCAATAGCAATATTACATTATTTAAGTCTTGGACCGCAAATTGATTCCAAACCTTTATTACTCCTGGTAAACATTTTGATAAGAAAGCAAGAAATTTACAATAAAATGTATTACTGAAGGGCACAGCAACTGTGATTAACTTTTTGGGTCACCGTGTGGAGCTGTAAAGTGTAATATATACTTTAGTTTGTAGTGTCATAATCTTAATGTAGCCCATAACAAAACTGTAACAAAGTCGTTTTCTTGGATTATTTTTGTTTTTGCATGCCCATTGATCTCAGACTGTAGGTTTCACTTCTGTGGTATGTGCATATTGTGTTATGTGCACATCATCACTGTCCTAACAAAACCTATTTATAGTCAAACGTTTGGACCATTCGATGTTGTTTTAATGATTATGATGTACCGTGTTGCACTTTGTTACTGCAATTTGTGCTATTTATGTACAAATGATAAAAAAATATATTTCATGTTTTCATATTTTATGTTTACTGCTGCTAACTATGATTTGTTAATGTATGAAACAAAAGTGATCATATATTGCAGTATGTATCAGAGATCCCAGTGCTCTGCAGTTTTGTTCTTTTGTCTTATCAAAGTGTTTTTCTGTTATTTAACAAGATTTCCAAACCCAAATGAAAGCTGAACAGAATATTTCAGAAGCCACATTCTGCCTGCCCTTATACCCCCACTCATGCTGTGTTCAAGGCCTCGGTGTAAGTATTTATGGGTTTAGGTCTTTACAGCTCAATGTCTTCAAATCTTAAGTACATACCACTTTCTAAATGCAAAAGTTTCATTTCAGATATTGTCACTGTAATTAGACCCTATAACACCATATTTAAATGCCAACTGTTGTTATATTAAAAGCAAACCTTTGACGTTTTTCATTAACAGATGTTAAGAATGTTTTTTCCCCTTTTTCCTTCTAAAGTTACCATTTCACTTCTACAGTCTATACATATCTGGTTTGTGTGTATTGTTGCTATTGTAACAAAATTTGGTTTGTGTACATATTTGGTTTGTGTGTATTGCTGCTATTGTAACAAAACCTTGAAACTTTTATACATACTAAACTTTTAGTAAGTTAATGTAACAAGAATTTATTCCAGGTAAATTGGTTCCATTGGTTGGTTCCACTTTATTTGGACAGCCCCCGATAGATTATCTTTAGATGTTTCAATTATTAACAAACTATTAAGTGAAACTTAATTTTCAGTAGTGTAAGCATCAGGGTTAAGATGAGTGCCATGTTTAGGCTTTGGATCATTGTGAGGATTAGGTTTAAGTTTTGGGGTAAGGTTAGCGTTAGGGTGTTAGGGCAACCCAAATGTTAAGAAGAGCCATTTTGTCCTTTCAACAAAAAACCAAACCACTTTGGGAGCCACAACATTTTATGTCCATTTTACCATCTTGGCTGTAAATATGTATGTGCTAATGTTCCTGTATAGGCCAAAAATAATACAGATGAAAACGAATTACTTTGCACTGCTTTAAGCTTAAGCTCAGCTATAGCTGCTCTTCTCGCATCTTCAGCAGGAAACGTTTCCGCAAAAATTTAATAGTTTCTTGTAAAATGTTTCTTAATGGTTGATTTTTTACAAGGCTGAAGTCAGCTCATTCTCCAGCTTCTCATTCAAAACTTTCCTGTTCCATCTTAAATGGTGCCAGAATGTAAATACTGCACCATTTAAGGTAAAACAGAAGAATTTGGACAAGAGGCTGGCGAAAGAGAAACTGACTTCAGCTTTGAAACTTTTTAGTGTTTGACAGTTTCTCGTTGCAGATGAAACATATCAGGAAACCAGCTGGAGTGATTATAAATGCAAATAAGTCCATTTGTCTCCAAATTGTCAATGTTTATATTAAATATCTCTCCTTCTTTAGCTACTAGCTAGGCGAGACTGTTGTCTGTGTTGCTATGGTGAGCAGCAGTCTGTGCGCCAGTCTTCAGAGTTAAAGGGTAAATTAGCAGTTATACATTAACTCCAGTGTTTAAGACCATTTATTGTTAAAACTGTGTTAGAACAATCAGCAGAGTTTTATTTTACTGCAGAGGAGAATTATTTTATTTTTACCTAAAAATCTAATTCTGCTGTGGAGCTGCAACAGGGCAGTAGAAAGAGCCGCATGTTGCCGACCCCTGGGTTAAGGTAAAGGGTAAAGGTGAATTTAATAGATATTTAATTGAATGTAAGTTAAATGCAAGGTAAACATCTGCAAGGCATCTACAGTGGGCTGTCTAAATAAAGTGTTACTGAAATGTTCACCAATGTTAAATGGCATAAACAAATGTTAAAAAAGAAAAATACGGGTTTGATGTGACAGCGACTATGTAAGTCCTAGTTAATCTAAATTAAAAGGAAAATCATACATTATAATGTCTCTGAAATGAAAAGCAAAAATACTTCAGAAATATCACTTTATTTCTAAAGGTACCCAATTTGACCACTAGAGGTTGCCATACCCACTGATGAGCAATTGGTCGCTCTCTCTCTCTCTCTTTCTCTCTCTCTCTCTCACACACACACACTCCCCCCCCCTCTCTCTCTCTCTTTTCAGTTCATGGTCACTCTTTTAAATCAAAAATAATGACATGCTGACCTCATGAAGTGTGTGCCAGCTAGTATCACTGTCTCAGCACTGCCCAGAATGTAGGAAAGTGAGAGTGGGAGGTGGGGGTGGAGAGAGAATACGGGGGTGGGAGACCATAGTTCTGCTCTCCGGTTCCAAAGGCTGGGTCATCCCTGCTGTAGGCTTTAGCACTGACTCTGAGTGCAGGTAAGTAGCAGACAACTTCTCACTATCACAGGAACTGTGCTTTCTTTAATGTGTGTGCGTGTGTGTGCATGTATGCCTGGGCTATACTGTTTACTGGAATGAGACTAACTGTGTTGTGTAAACACTGTACCAGCAGTTACAATCACCTCTGCAGTTACGTGATATATAAATGATATGTACCTCTATAAATGCTTTGACAGCATTTAATGTTATTATGAATTTGGTGCCACTGGATGCAGCCTTACAGTTTTTGCTTTTTGATGTGTGGTAGATGTGTGGTAGTAACTTTGCACTAAAGTATAGTGGTGTACTGTTAAGTTGAATTTTTTAAAATATGTATAGTGCATTATATTTTGCAGTGTAGAATGACTGAAGTAACCGTTCAGCTTTAGTCTGGTTGTTAAATTGTCAAATACAGCATGTTCTTCACCCTTCAGTCCAAGAGACCTGACTGGATTAAGCTGACTTTTAGGGCCTTGTAGAATTTGCATGGGATTCTTGTAGCTCATTTAGAAGCTTAATTAAGCCTAGTTAGACTTTTACACAATTTAGTGCAGTCATGTAGTTTTGAAATGCTTTTTTACACAGATCTCTCTTGGTTATTGGAGTTGAGTGAAAGCTGAACTGAGACTGGAAGTAGCTGACTTGTGAAGCTAAAATTAAGCTGGGGTTGATTTGGAATTTTACACTTGGACGGTGAGACCTGAAGGAGCTGACCCACAAATAGTGTGAAATCTTTTGTGTGATGGGTCAGCTGGAGAAGAACCTTGGTACTGGAGTAGAACAGTTCTGCATAAAACAGTTCTACATAGTGTTTAAAACATTTCTTGAAATATTCAAACATTATTTACCTCTACTTTAACTACATAATCTCTAAATGTCCTAACTCCAACATTATAAAATTCAGTTAAATAAATTTCTTCTTCAGAATATATTTTATTGTTAAAGACTTTGTACAACGCTGAACTTGAGGAGGAGGTTAGCTAATTGGTTAACTCCAGAGTGCTGCTGCCTGACCTTCGCTTAGAGCCCACCTGCAGTAGCCACCAGGGAGTTTTGGGTTTCCCAGCTGTACTTCATATAGGGCACTGAAGCAGCATGACTTCACTTTGCTTTTGAAGGGACATTTTAAACAGACACTTGCTGTAGTCGTATTAAATATTTAAATTTTGACTAATACGGAGAAAACGGCCGGTGGTGTTATATAGAAAACAGTTTTCCATTGAAGCTAATTTCTGTTTGGCATTTGTGATAACATTTGACCAAAAACTTGCATTAGTCCTGCTAAATGTTTTCATTTTTCATTTTTTTTAATAGACAAAAACTGGTCCAATACATGAAAATTGCATGGAAAATGTTGTCTCATTGTAAATTTCATACTAGTTATGACTCACGCTGAGTTGACTTTCCGTTCATTAGCTGCCATTGACACAGTTTTCTCTTCGGCATTTGCAAAAACGTAATTGGTGGATGGTCTGTAATTATTTTTATTGACGTCAACTCGAGACATTTAACACTTTGCTGTATGTTTATAGCGTGACTCTAGTAACATTGCACAAACAGGGGATGTCAATAGGCTGATCCTTGGAGATGTACCCAACAGAGTTGAGTTGCAAACTTAATCCAGGTCAACTGGCTCTAATATTTAGATGCTCCAGAAGCCCTCAATTAGCTTGTCATACGTGTTAGATAGAGGTTTTTGTAGGAGCATTGAGTTTTTGTAGGAGCATAGCTCTCCAGGTGCATAGTTGCAAATCATAAACTAACCTAATCTGCCTCTTGCAAAGACAATTATTTCACGATGTATGCACACAACATTAAGTACTGAGATGTATGGGTACAGTATATCCTTTCTTCGGTTGCGTGACTGAAATTCCTTATTGAAAGATCTCATTTAATACCCCTCAGAGCAAGCTGGTCAAACAGGTGTAACACAGTGCTTTGCCGTACCTTAATATTGTTTGGAGTGGGGCTGATGTGCCTTGGGAGCTCTGTAGACAGGTGCATGAAGCAGGTGGCTAGACATTCTTATTAGGGAAATGTGATGGACTCATAAAGATGTCAGATGGCCGGTGGCACTGAGGGCTGTATTCCTCAAGGAGATGACCTGGCTTACTCATATTTATAATTGTGTCTGCTATAAATCTTTAGTTTTGTCCTGGCTTCTGACAAAGCAGTGTTAAATGTGTCGAAAAGGCATTTCACATATGAACATTACTAACAGAAACAGTAAAAAGTTCTCATGTTTTAAAAGAAGTATTAATTAGTAAGTAACTAGTAAGTTTGTGTTCATAATAAGTAGCTTATTAAGCTTATTAAGTCTGTTGAGGAAAGTTGACTATTAATTTTTTGACTATTACAAGGAATAGCACTTATTCTGTATGTCCACTATGATTTCTGTCAGGCAGATAGAAGATCCGTTATGTCTCATAGACACCCTCAGTAATCTCACCAAATTGGGTTGTTTGGGTGTTGCTCTGTTGTTAATATCCTCTGTTTTTTCTGTATTTGAGACACTGGCTTAACAATTTAGAGCCATCTTGAACTGATATGCACCCTGATAACCCACATTCTCTCTCTCTCTTTTCAGAAGCAATTTGTTCATCCTTACCTCCCCCTATAAATGACATTCTGTAATGGATTGGGCTATATAACAATATTTATAGTTAATTGTTAAATTATGTACCAGTACACTATTCTGATCAGATTGTCAATACTTAAAGAAGTACTGACCAATTATATGTTTCATTACAAAGAGAGCATAATTAGTCATGCTTAGAGCACAATTTTAATGCACAATTAATGTTTATTTGCTGAATTTAGCATATTGGGGAAAAATAGAACATGAAATGTGACCTGACCTGTGTAAACATTATGGCAAAATTTATATAGCAATTAAATAGGAATTGTGCACTACAACTAGCAGAAAAATGCCATATTTAAGTTTTTTCTCACATAGAGGATGTGTTAAATTATTTTCACTTAGAAAATCACACATGTTCACACGTGCATATGCCTGTAAACATCAAGAATCAACAAAGTGTTTTCAGTGAGGTTTAGGCACTGTGTAAGAAGTGTCATCACTATGTGAGAGGACGCAGTTACAT